TTCTTTAATGAAGTCCCCGGAATAGTTAAAATGAGAATTATATCAGATAAGAGCATGTCAATTAAATACGGTTTTTGGCAGTAAAATATTAGAAAGTCATCCAACTTGACTTTTGAAATTAGTGTAAGGCAGACCCCAGGAGAATGTTGAAATAAAATGGAACCAAGCAAAAATCACCACAGCTGGAAAAGTGTGGTCATGCACCTCTAATGGAGAGGCATGTTAACAGTGTCATTTCTCCACAGAGTTCAAGAATAGCTCCGATGAGGACTGTAATTTGCTTAACACATTTGTGATCTAAGCAGCAATGTGAAGTTCTGCACAGCAACACTAAGTGACATAGAAACAGCATTCATTTTACTCCCAGGGGATATGAGATGTGGGGTAAAATGAAGATGTAAAGGCTCATCCCAGCCACACAGGGAATGCAAGGTTGATCTGTCCCTTAAAGCCCTGTGACAAAAAAACATGTTCATGGGTACTTTTGTGTTAAGACTTAAGAATTTCTGTCCTTGTCTCTTGGGTTGTAAGGCTAGATTTTAAGAGCTGAGCCAGCTGTCCAGCCACCTTCCCGAAACTAGTATATTCCTAACTACATCCTAATACTTAATGGCAGGCAGAGGTAGATCCCCCCATGAAAGAAGTTCTCCCACACACCCCAACCCTATCAAAGAAGTTCCATATTACAGCAGAAGAGAACTGTCACAGAAAGCCACACTTCGTCAAAATGCAAATAACCAACTCCGTGGGGGGCCAGCCCAGCTGATAAATCTATAACACAGCCCCTCCCCAAAACCTCAGGGAACATTGCAGAAGAGGGGGCAGAAAGATTCTAAGAGTCAGAGGACCAAGAAGTCTGCTATGAGATTGTACCTTCTAGATACGACAGAGAAGCTACATCGGGAAATCCCAACAGCATGACTGCCTAAACCAGACCTGAACAAGGGCAATACTAGTTGCCATGGCAACCTAGATGGGGGACCTTTCATGGGGTCTTACCCTTAGAGGAAACCTTATAAGCAACTAACAACTGCTGATAGAGAGAGAATTAGTCTTCCCTTGGGCTGAGCCCCTTAACTGGCTCCTCAATATCGAGTGGTTTATTATACATGTGTGTGTATTGTACGTGTGTGTGTGTGTGTGTGTGTGTGTGTAATAGCATGTGTGTGTAACAACAATGGCTGGAGAAGAGGAGGCTGTGAATAGAAAAGTTGCCAAGCATTGGATGGGTAGGAGCAAGGAGAAGGGGAAAATGATGTAATTATATTTTAATTAAATTTAAGAAAGAATTTCTGTCCTTGATGCTTATTAATAAGTTTTTGCCATTTTGTATTTTCAATGCTCATATTAGCATACAGTTGTTTTAAAATAGCAAATTATTTAATGAAAGGAAGAAAGGGTCATGAATTAATGAAAATGCATAAAAGGCATATTGTAGCCGTAGCTGGGTGCGTTAGTTCAATGGTTTGGTGCCGCAAGCTATAACTCACCTGTTCTGAAACTCAAGTTCAAAGCCTTGCCTGGATTGCAGAGTGAGTTCGGTACAGTGAGATGTTATCTCAAAGTGTGTCCCCCAAAAAGGAAAGGAAAAGGAGGGTGAGGCACACGGTGTGCTTGAGTGAGGACCTAGGTTCAACCACAATATTGAAAAACTCACACTAAGATTGTCACAGATGAGAGGGAGTGTTCCAGAGAGCAGCGTCAGAAATGAAAGAGAAGCAAACATGGTGAGGGCAGAGTCACTGCCCCACTCATGGAAACACTCTCCCAATCCACAAATGCACCCTACCTGTCTCAGCATCCAACCATGGGCCGTGAAACCAGCTTCTCTCTCATGTGCCTGAATGCCGGCTTTTGTCGTCAATGGCCCATCTCCACAGTGCACAAGGCCACGTCCTCCACCATTGTGAAACGCACTGTGTACATGGAGGGATTCTGGACTCTGCACTTGAAGGGATTCCTAGAAATCGCTTGAGAGCCACCCTGCAGGTCAGAGTGTGTGCTGGCTTGTGCTTTCCCATAGAGGCAGGTGTTGGCTACTAGGTCCCCAGCTGGTGGAGCTGTTCGGGAAAGCTGAAGAAACCAGGACACCGAATTTCCCAGACAGTTTGAGTCACTGGGATTGGAGGCTGAAGTTCGCTAGCGTGACCCCATTTCTGCGCATTCTCTGATTCTTGTCTGTGGACTACATGGTCGGATACCTCACATTTCTGCCGCCATGCCTTGCCCACTATGCGGGGCTGTGACCCCTTGAACTGAGAGCCAAGCAAGCCCTTCCTCCCTTAAATGGCTTCTTGTTACATATTTGGTCATGGTAATGAGAAGAGTGTCGCAGGAGCATCATGAGGGGCAGGGAGAAGCACGAATAGCTGGTCACTTGACTATACATGATATATATCAGACCCACGGCTCTGCAGTTACCAATCTCATTCATTTTCCTTTTGGACATAGCTACATTTCCTTGTGCTTCGTGGAAGCCATATTTTTTTCCTTCCCCATTAGTTACATCATAGTCTATGTTCGTTTGGGTTGTTTGTTTGTTTGTTTGTTTGTTTGTTTTAAAAATGGGAAAGACTCAGTTATTTGATTGACCCACCCAGCTCACTCATGGCCCAACTGGATTCTAACAGAGTAGTTGCCTAGAGAAACTCAGATGACATCCTTTGTTTAGTAGAGACAGAATTTCAGGCCTTGTCTTCCATAGCCAGGGCCAAGGTAATACTCTGAAGTCATCAGCCAGCTCCAAAATTTTACCAAGAGGTGGGCAATTCCCACCCTCCACTTTCATGGGATGGTTTTACACTACCCCCAGTCCCAACCCCCTAGATGGTTTCTCCGTGTAGCCCTGGCCGTCCGAAACTCACAGCATAGACCAATTTGGCCTCGTCTGTCTCTGCCTCCCGAGTGCTAAGATTAAAGCTGTGCTCCACCACAGCCTGACTTCCTCTGGCATGATGACAGCTACGGCTGTTTCCACACCTTTCACAGAGCATCCAGTTTTTCTGTTTTGAGGAAAGGCGTGTCTTTCCTTAGTTCAGGATTCAGAGGGCATAACACAAGCTAGGAGATAGTCATTATCACAGATGGTCATTTTGCAGAAGTATTGCAGCCCTGGGGGCGTTTGAGCCACAAGTCAGGGCACCCTGGGGAGGCATTTCTGCAGTGGCTTCTGCCAGCTATGGGGCTTGTAGCACCGCCTTAAGCATGTTACTTCCTCTTTGAAGCCTTGTTTTCACCTGAGAAAAATAGGGTAACCACAGAAAGAACCTTGCACTGTTGTCTGGAGAGTTGAATGATTGTTAGACAGACCGCTTTGGTGCTGAAAACTTCCTGGTTTAAAGGAGAAAGAGTTTTCCAGATCATGAGAATCAAAGCAACCTGTGTTCAATCAAGGGTGGTAAATACTTCTTCCCTGACCCACTGCCTCTGCGTGAACTTAAAGGTAAACAGATCCTGTCAGGGGCCTCACCATGGAGTCAACAAGGACTTTCCCCTGCCAGCAGCTCCTGTGTTTTCAGTTCCCTTTGCTGTGGAGACCGCTACACATTCAGAAGCCCATTCTAGAAGCATCCACCAACAGCTGCTTGTGGTGATTAAATGAAACGGGGATTGCCTGGTTCTCCGGCAAGCCTCTACATTGAGTAGTACCTTCCATGGCAGATTATGCAATGACTGCATAGTACAAGTAGCTAAAGGGCTGGTGTTCTTTGCCTTGCTGTCTGTATCTGAGTAATGTGACAGAGACACCAAGTCACAGTGGACCTCAGATGTCTTGCTCCATGTCGCTTTGTGACGACTTCTTCCAAGGCTTGCCTAGGAGAGGTGCAATCTTGTCACCAGCAGACCCTTCCTGAAGCAAAACCCCTCCCTGTGGCATGGTCAGCTTCCGTCCAGTCCTCTCCCTCCCAGCCACTGACAGGCAAGAGCAGGCTGCTTCAGTCCTGTTTCCCCTGGCCTTCAACCAGCACCTTCATTCAGCAGCACGCTCTTTCACTGGTATTTCCGATCATTCCAACTAGGTAGATACATCTAACTTAATTTGCAATATGCACATAACTTAAAGGTACCACTAGAAGCAGGAGTAAAAACTCTCCTTTCCCAGTCTGTGCTCCCAAATCTGCCTTCCTTTCCCCAATAGTGCAGTAATTTATCACTATAATTTATTGTTTGTGTGTTCTTAAGTTCTTCACAGATAGTAAGTACAAATATTAAGGTCATTTCATGGTTTTGCCCAAATATACCACTTGTATACATTTTCCTATATTTTTTGCTTTATGTATTTTTGTAGGGGAAGCTTGTCCTCATTTTTTTCAGCAGAATCATGATCCCTTATGTGAACATGGTGCGTACCAACTTCTGCTGATCTGGCAAATTGTGAGAGCATTTACCAATCAGCCTAGCAGTGTCTAGCACATAGGAAAAATTTCCTGCTTCCTCAGCAGTCTGTGATTCTGTGTATTTGTCTTAATTAAATCTTGAGGTGTTACCTAATAGGTTAAAATGGCATGTTAGTTAGTTGTAATCTGAATTATTATAATTATGAATGAGATTAAATCTGTTTCATTCCTATGCAAGTTGTTCATGTCTTTTGGCCATATTTCTATTAGTCTCTTGTAACAGATATATTCAGTATTTGATGCTACTTTCAACATTTATTCATTGCCTCTTACAATCTCTGGTAAACAAGGAATTCATTGGAATGAATACTGTATGTTATGGAATGCTCATTACATTAAAGGCATAGTTCATCATGTCTAACTGAAAAATTCTATGAAAATTTCACCATTTGAAGGGTCAATCACAAAATTTTGATGAATTAATTTTAATTCTCAAATACTTTAAAATTGATAGAAAGCATAACATGGCATGCATGGCAAAATGAAAATAACCGTGATCGACTCATGCAATCTCAATTCACAGCTAAAGACATGCAGAAGCAAAACAATGCAGCTATTTTACACCAAAAAGAAACATTGATGTTCACATATATCTCCTCTCACCCTGCCACCAACCTATGCTTTTAAAATGCACCGTTGGCTTTTGCTTCACAGTGTTCAAGGGTCTGTTTCTTGTTTGCTCAGCCATCCAGTGAGCCTGAACACAAAGAGCATACAGCGGTTGATTTCTACCTGGACAATAATCCAGGCACAGCTGCTGTACCTCTGGTTTTCCAAGTAGTCGTGGATCCTCCTGAAGTAGGCTTTAATCTGTATCCTAAGCCTCTGCACGCTTGGGTCACCACTCTGCTCTGCTTTTAGTTCAGCTAGCGACTCCATGTATTCCAGCTGTTGGTGAAGTGCCCCTAGGACTCTCTCTATATGGGTTTCCTCCCAAATGCCCAGAGAAAGGTGTGCCTGGAAGAGGCTGAAGACCTGCTGGAGGATCTCGTGCAGAACAGCCAGTGCATGGCCTTTTTGGTACTGGTGACGACTCACAGACTGCAGAGGAAGCAAGAAATTTTTCCTGTGAGACAGACACTGCTGGACCGATGAGACTGGCAACATTGTGGGTGGGTGCAAGCTTTCTCTCTTCATTCTTGACTGGAAGAGAATCAACTTCGGTTCTAGGGAGAAGACAGTGGAACACGCCAACAGCAGCAGCAGCACCATTTCAGGGAGCTGTTTGTGAATCATGGTGCAGGACAAAGACACTGATGTTTGTGCTAACCTTGTAAAACTCCAGTTCTAGGAAATGTTTAGCTTTCATGTATCTCAGAGAGTGATGGGGGCATTTTTTTCTGTTGCCTCTGTTTCCTTGTGTCTCATTTCCCCAAGTTTACGTCGCAGGTTTTCTGGTTCTCACTTCAAGGTTTTTATAGAACATTTCCTTTACTTTCTTCATTGTGTTGGCTCTTTGAGGAAGTAATCAAAGAACTGGCCTCACTGTACACTTTTGTTGAGACAATTAGAGTTGTTCAATCTGATCTTCTACTACCCTCATTATTTATTACACACAAGGTTTCACTTAACACAATGTACTTTCTAAATGTTTACTCAGGCTTAGTAATGTTCTTTTATTGAGAGCAAGCTTTTTTACCTAAAGCAGTATTATTTCATTGAGTATTAGTTATCAAACCCTTAGCAGTACCTGGGCAACACTCAGAGGCAAGCATTAAAATCCATAGGCCGATAACTTTGAAACTTCAAGTAGAACTGTAAATGTGCACAAATATTTGGGCAAATCAATCTGAAAATACACATCAACAGTCTTGGAATGTCTTGTATCTCATCCAATCCATTTAACATCTAATATTTTAGCTTACAAAATAAGATAAAAGTAAAAATTATAGTTATAGTCCCATGCTAGTGCAGAATGTAAACAGCTTACAAGTTCAACATAATGGCTACAAATGTGTTGGTTCCTCCATGAACACAGGAAACCAGCAAATGACAAAATTATTCGTGAGAAGAGTGGGGGGTAGTTGGTTGGTCGGTTTTCCCTAGGCTAGCTGCAGCAATGGTAAACCAACGGGAACATCTTTACAACAGTAATGCCTCCTGAATTACAAGTGTCCGGTTCCACGGTGCTACGATCCTCTGGAGTGAGTCTCCAGACTACCTTCTTACTGCCGCACAGTGTGGTAAGTGTAGTTGAGGGAACCAGACTCCAGAGGAAGTAAGAGACTCAGAAGACTCAGGATCCCCATGATGGGGCATGACCTTCCGTATGTATGTTTCCCTTATGGCTTGATGAATAAAATACTGATTGGCTAATAGCCAGGCAAGAAGTACAGGTGGGGCTGCCAGACAAGGAAAATGCTGGGCTGAGAGCAAGGAGAGAGAGACTGCCAGGAGGAGATGTCATGTAGATATCAAGGAGATAGGATGTTCCAGGTGTTCTCTGGTAAGATAAGGCCATGTAGAAACACATGGATTAGTAGTTATGGGTTAATAATTAAGATACAGCTAGCCAATAAGAAGCGCTTGCCATCGGCCAATAGTTTTATAATATAGCGACCGTGTGTTTATTTGGGGCCCAAGGGCGGTGGGACAGAAACATATGAGGGGCTTTGCTCTCCTTACTTGGCTTATTTCAGGTGGCATAATTATCTCCATTTCTATCCATGCTGTTATAAATGGCATAACTTTCTTCTCCTTTTAAAAATAATATAAACATCAAAATATTTACCTGTGTTGGTGTGGTGAGCCCAGGTGCCTGTGGAGACCAGCAGAGGGCATTGGATCCCTGACGTTGGAGTTACAGGCAGTTGTGAGCTGCCTGAAATGTGTACTGGAAACTGATCTTGGGTCCTCTCCAGAAGAGATCTTCTCCAGAAGATCTTGGTGCTCTTAATTGATGGACCATTTCTTTAGTATCTCCTTCTGTTTACATAAGGCCTAGCCATTTCATGGTGTGTGTACAACATTTTCCTTATTCAACCATCTTGTTTCTGTTCCGGGGCTATTGTAATTCCACTCTAAATATGGGAATGAAGATACCTACCTCTTCAACAGAGTGATTTTACTTTCCTTAGATTTATACCCAGTAGTGAGATTACTGAATCACATGGTAGTTCTACTGTCAATGTCTTGAGGAATCCCCTATTGTTTTCTACTATCATACTAATTTATATCCCCACCAACAGTGCTAAAGAATTTCCTTTCACACAAATTTCCTTCAATTTACAAAAATGATCTATAGTTACATTGATTTTTAAACATTTGGGAATTTTCCAGACAGCTTTGTGTTACTGATTTCTAATTTGAATGTTGTGATTAAAGAATAAAGTTTGAGTTTGTTGGTTTTATGTGTCAGAGTATGATCTACCTTGGTGATGTTCCTGGTGAACTTGAGATAATTCTACTTTCGTAGGTAGCACTGTTCTATGAATGTTGGATAGGTTCCTGTGGTTGCAAGTGTTGAAAATTTCCACATTTTCCTGATTTTGTGTTGTGTCAAGAAAGAAGTCTTAGAAAGAGAGCTAGCATGAACGTGTGTGTGTGTGTGTGTGTGTGTGTGTGTGTGAGTGAGAGAGAGAGAGAGAGAGAGAGAGAGGGAGGGAGGGAGGGAGGGAGAGAGAAAGAGGAGAAGGAGGAGGAGGAGGAGGAGGAGACAGATAGAGACAAAGCCTTCCTCTACAGATATCTTGATATCTCCAGCGTGATTTTAGATTTGTTTCTTCCATTTCAATTATATAATGTGTTTAAAACTGCATTATGTATAATACATTTTTGGGTTATGAGCTGACTAAATTAAAATGTTTTTCATTCTTGTTCTTATTTTGCAATCACCTTTTTTCCTGGAATATATTTATACTATGTTTTGATTAAGGTGTGCATGACTCTGGTTTTGTGTGTTTTTCTTGTAAATATCCCAGTGGGCTTATATTTGAAGTGATTTCTATTCTGCAGTATATGCTGGGCTTTATATTTTATCTTATCTGGCAGTCTTTGATTTTCCATTTTTGTGTTTGTGTGCATGTTCATGTTATAGTGAAGTTTTCTTGTCTTCTCTTTATTTCTTTCATTTTTTTAAAAAAGTGTCTGCCTATGTAGCCTGATCAGGACTAGAACTTTACCAAAATCCAAATAGATGATAATATAGGAGAATATTATTTTACTTAAAGCACACTATATCCAGACAAAAGTATAATTACAGATTAATATCACAAAACATATTCCTCCACATGCAACTGTTTCAAATGCCAGCCTAATAAACTATCTCCCACAATCAGTAACATAGACACAGCCGAGGAATGCACACTTGCTTGGAATGGTTGGGAAAATACACTTGATTGTGTGAGAATCTGTTGCTCCCATTTGCTACATGCACAAACTTTGTCTTTTTCTTCAGAAGCTTGGATTTCTCTTACTCCAAAGCACTGTTTTCTTCATGGTAGCAGGCATGACAGTGGTTTGGGAGGGGTTCTCTGGCATCAGAGGAAGGGACTGAGGAACAGGCTTGTTTAGAGAACTCAGATCATATACGGTTATGGGGTATCTGATCTACATAGGTAGCATGAGTACTAGGGGACTAAGCCGAGTGTGGGTACATGTGAACATATCCTTGCATGTATGCACAGAGGACAATGTCTGATGTTCAAGACCTTGAGAATGAATTTAACCAGCTGCCCAGTGTAAGGACTCTTTTAGGAGAATTTGCTACACACTTAAACTGCACCCAGAGAGGAACAGCAGTGAGGTGTCCTGATGCAGAAAAGGGTGTTACTAAACATTGCTGAGAATGACAAAAACCTTTAACAAAAATAGAGAATTAATGATGGTACTTAGCCACTATGAATGTTTATGTCCTTCTGTTAAATTATTATATAGGCACATATATATTAACTTTTATATTTCTATGAATTATTTACCATTACCTTCTATCCAAAAGTATACTGCTTTTTATTAAAATTCAAATACTCTCTGTATTTAAAATATATCAGAAATAGTTCTAATTAGTGAGAAAGGCATTTAAATTCAACCAAAAGATGGTGGCATAACATAAGGTACCTGGAGTCTAGTGTCTGCTCCTTAATGGGCAAGTAAAACGAGGAGTTTTTAGCAACTACGAAACTGGGTGGTACCATTAACAGACCAAATGAATTGATCCCAGAACAATCGCTAATCTCTTTGACACATATTAGGATCCTTATTGGCTAACACTTTGCTTTCTGGCCTGAACAGCACTGACAGATATTTACTCGCTTTCTGAACACCCATCCACTATTATCTGCTCTGCCTTTGTTGGCTACTGTGGCTAACCATATCCTGACTTGTCTGCCCATGCTCAGATCTTGCACTTCTAACCATGTTTTACATGTGCCACATCTACTGCCCCTACTCAAAGCTATTTATCCCTCACCTTTATTCTTGGCCACTTGTGCCAACAATGTCAATGCACCCCAGGCCATTTTCTGAGCATGAACTTGCAAATATTTAACTACATTTATCTGTCATAGATTTCAGAGCAGGAAATGATCTTAATAACATATAGCCTTTGATTCCCTTTCCATTCCTCAAAATTTCAGTCACCATGCTTTAAAATATTGTGCTGGAGGTGGAGAGGGGCCCACACAAAAGCAGGGAGGTAAGTGTGCTGATGAAGAGATAACCAGCCATGCGGCATCAGGGTCTGAAAAGAACAAGACACATATGGAGTGATGCCTTCAGCAGGGTCATAGACCATAGATCATAGATGTCATGAAATCTGTCAAAGTCATGACAAAGACCCAGAAGCTAAAGAGAAAAAAATGTGACAACCAGACATGAGCTATTGTGCTACACAGGACTCACTGGGGCTTGATAGACAAACCTAAATATGAAGACTGGTTCCGTATGGTCCAGTGTCACTGCCAAGTTCTGAATTTGGTGATTCATTGTAGCTGTATGGGGGAATGTGCTTACGGCAGCCGGCACACAGTTGTGTTGAAACATTGCCTCTCACTGAAGTGGTTTTCAAAAGAGGTTTTTTCGGATGTGTGCTCAGATTTTGTAATCATTTCAAAATTGAAAACAAATAGGCTAATAGTATCCTTTTTTTCTACACTGCTTATCATCATCACCTTTCGGTATTTAGATCAAGAATGGCAAACACACAATGAAGAGTAAGGCCATTGCTCTTGATTAAAAGGTAACATGATGAATAAATATGTCAATTGTAGCATGTGATTGGTGGGGTTTGATTCTCACTGGTTTTACTTGCTTGCAT